ATCTGGCTCTCAGACCAAAGCACTCCCTCACAAGCAATGCCCTTGTGCAGAACTAACAGCAACCAATCCCCTGATGTGGGGCAGCTAGGGATCCATGGTGGATGGTGTGGGGTGTTTGGGTCAAAGAAACTTCTCACACACATATTTGGGTCAGGTTTTGTCATTCGATGTCAATGGTAGGCTGTGACATTCCTCTGTGCTATTTCCCCCCCTCCCTCCCTTCTATTAGAAGAACTAGATTTTATCTTCCTGTCCCACCCCCTTGCCTTCACCCTGTGCCTATTTTACTAAAACCTGCTTTTCGGGTCAATGTGCTGGTAAGAGATTAATTTTGCACTGCGAGAAACACGGAGCAGAGTATTTCTGCTTTGACATATGAGAGGTCTGTTATAATATTGCAGTTTTTCTAAATTAAATATTAGGAAAAATTAAACCCAATTGTGGTTCGTACCCCTATGGAAAATATTTCTGTTCAAAACAGTCCCTCCATGCTAAATGACTTAAGTAACTGAAAACACAATAAATATGCAGCAAGTTAAAAACCCAGATTATTCAGGTTTTAAGGCTTATAACTAAAAGTGGTTTAATGTTTCATGCCTAATAATAGATTACTCCTATCACATTTCTAACCTTTATTTCTCTCAGCTTTGAAGTCCAGCCATATAAAGGCTGTTTGTAGAACCACACGAAAGTTAAAGCAAATATTACTCAGAGTGATTCATATGAACAAGAATTTGCAATGAAGGCAGAGGGTTTTTTGTGTCTGTATCAAAGGAAATGAAATGTTTGCAATATTTTCCAGTTGATAAATGCATTAAAACATTTTAGTTGTGTAGTATGAACATTGCTGACATAAACAGACTTTGACCTGAAACAGATTGTATTAAGCTCTCTGGGGGAGGCAGCATTAAAAGAAATAAAAATAAAATAAATGGAAAAAAGAAGAAATTCCTAGATTTCAAAATCTGCCACAAGGTCACTGCAGCCCTTAATTAGCTGAATACATTAAGGGAAGGCTAGAACACAGACTCTGAAAAGAGAGCAAATGTGTGTTTAATCCTCTGTTCTTTGCTTACAGATTACTCTTTCAGAACAAGTAACCTTATTTTCTCTTTAAATATCTATTTACCTTTTTGAGCTTTGCATAGCAAAGCAGGGTTTTCTTCTCCCCTTCGTTCCCCCCCCCTCCCCCCCCCCACTGTTGCAAAAGAAATTAATTTGTTGCTAGTTGCTATGCATTGGCAGGATTTCTGCATAAAGAACGTAAGCCATCTATCTTTGTATTCAAGATATAGTTAATCTGGCAGTTAAAATACTTTGGAAACATTTTGATGACTTATCTGGAAAAGTAGCTTTGCATTTTCAAAGAAAACTCAGAACTGTATTGCGAGGGGAAGATAAAAGATATATGAAGTGTTTGTTCCAAGCGATACTATTCATTTAAAGATCAGAATGTAACCCCACCCAAGCAATTATTGTGGAAAAACAAGACAAAAATCCTTATACAGCTTTCTGACACGGTCTTTATTTGGGAAACAAAATAACTATATTACAGTTATAGACTAATGGATTGCAAGCTGTTTTATTAGAGTCAGCTGAATCCTGTTTAGCATAAAAAAAGAACTCTGTTTGCTATCAAGAACACATTTACATTAATATGACTTTGACAAAGTAAAATAAAATCACATTAAGATGATGTAAGTAGATAAGACAATGAAATCTCTGTGAGAGAGTTTTGGCCCACCGATTAGAGTCAAGTCCCTACAGGAAAGAAAACATATTTTTATACCAAGTATCCACGTGTTTTTAAGTTGTAGAGTGGCCAAAATTAATTCCATGCTTAAAATATTTCCAGCAAGAGAAAAGAGAAAGTTTATCAGTATTATTGTTTTTATGTTTCCCTTGAAAGGTAAAATTTCTGATAAACCACATTTTTATTTGCAATAATACAAACAAGTTTTGTTCTCTGCACTAGCCTGTAATCATCCTGATTATTGCAGGGGACTTTCCAATATAGAGCAGCTGAAAACAAGGTTTTGGATTACATGGTAATTTAGGAATGCATGAAAAGCCAAGCAGTCACCATAATAGAGCACTGCATAAACTTCATGGCTTTTGCAGCAAAACATAACATGTGTTTGGTGATTCATTCAAATGATTTTTTTTTTCTGAAAAATATGTTGAGCTCTAGTATTCATCCTGTATTTAGGGAAACGTACTCTCAAAAAATGACGACGACACCACCACCCCAACTTTGATGTCTCTCTTTTCAGTTTGGTCATTAAAAGAACGGCAGTGATGGATGGTGATAATGCTGTGGATTTTATGAGTAATCAGGCCTTGGCAGCCACTCTATTTCTTTTGTAGTGAAACTTTAATATTCCTTTGGCCGTGTGTAAACTGTTTCTGCTTTTGGAACCCCATTGCACAAGTTACTCACCAAGCATTACAAAACAGTTATTACCCAAAAGTTAGTGCTTAAATTTAACGCCTGACAGGCTGAAGTCCACCCCCCCAGAACACAGCTCTCGTGTAACAGCCCTTCTGTGTCCGGGCGCTGCTGCCTCGGCAGGAGGAGAGCGGAGGAAGGCAGCGGGCTGCTGGCAGGACCTGGCAGCAGGGGTGAGATGGATTCTCCAGCTGCATGGCCAAGCCCTGTGCACAAGAGAGAGCACCCTGGGCACCCCTGCTCTCCTCGCCCCCTTTCACATGCTTTTCAGTGAACTTGCTGCAGCAAACACCAGGTGTCTCCACTTAGCTGGGCTACAGCTCCAGAAAGGGGGCTGCGGCCAAAGAAAAACCCAACAAAACGGGGTAAATATATTCGGGTTTTTATTTCCATTGCCTCTAATCTGTCTGCTGCAAGACTGCGTGCGCGGGGAAGAGAACGCATGTAAGCGTGGATATCTCGCACCAGGGTCGTATTTTATTTTGTCACTTGATATGCCTCTGTCAGGCGAGGCAGGACTTTCCAGAGTTTGAAATAATCCAAATTCAATCACTTTAAAGCTGCTACAATATGCAAGTCCTGGCAGCCGTTTTAAATTAATGGGACATCAGATGTGCTCTGATCCTCTCAATTTCCTTGGGCAAAAGAAATTCTGCTGCAGTGGTAGCGGGAGGGGAAATACAGGGCTATCAGTAAAATAAATGTCAGCTTTTGTCTGCTGATAGAAAAATGCATAGAGCAAAAAAAGAAGACTAAAACCCCACATTATTTATTCCTCTGTAATTAAAATGTATTTCTATATGCAGCGAGGATTATCTCAGTGGTTTGGACAAGTAAACACTGTGCAGTCTGATCCACATGAACGGACATAAACCAAAATACAAAACTGCTTTTCATTCGGTGTTGTACAAATAGAGCTAAATATTTTGTTTGGGTCTAGATGTTTATTTTTTGTGCCTGCTGCCCTGTTTATCAATAAAAATGCTAGAATTCCCACCTTGAAAGCCCAGTTCCGTGGCATAGATGGGATTTTGGCAGGAACTGGGGGAAAAAAATCCAAACCAAAAAGCTCCACAGCAAGGTGCCAGAGCCCATGAAGATGCACTTGGTTTGGAGTTTACTTAGAAAACGCAAACATTCATTGGGTTTGTCAAAAGGTTTGCAGACTTGAGAACCTTTTGATCAAACCTGTGCTGTGTTTTGAGGAAACCTACACTGGAATATGGTTTTCAAGATGCAATTCAGTAGCTCTGCTTTTGAAACACAAACAAGCCCCAAAATTCAAATGAAGGCTCTGAACCTTGCATAAAAGCACAAGCTCTTACGGTGCATGGTTTTTGGTGATCTGCAGGGTTTACCACCCAGTGCTATGTCCTGGCTACGAGGGCCCACGTTTCGTAAGTATTTTTCCTGAAAGTACAATGCAAGCTGTTGGAGTTAAATTGAGGACAAGGCATTTCTTTAATTCTGACTTTTCAGTTATTTGCTTTGTATGAGAGAGCCTGGCTGCTTCTGTGCTAACTGGGACTCGCATTGCCAGACAGTATGTTTTAAGTTATTTTTAAAAATGCTGGGTTTTGAAGGCTCTTAAATCCTTTGATGTAAATGAAAATAAAATCATGGTCTGGAACCTAACAGAGACTTTTAATCTTGATCTTAAAAGCATGAATCATACTACAGCATAGAGTAAAACTATTTTCTGTCCTCTGCACTCACCTTTATATGCACTGATATTTGGTATTTATAGGTGGCAGTTAGAGATCTCAGGTAGTCCCAGTGCCTCATGCCAAGCTCTGTACACAGTTACTGCCTTGCCATCTATGGCTGAGATTTCTACAGCTTGGCATTTGTCTCATTTAAACATGACATTTCAAGCAAACCTGATTAAAACAAAGCAAAGCAGAAATGTCTCAAATTCCAGGTGTGTAACGTTAGGGCAACAAATCAGACCCATTACTGCCCTAGAGCGGGAACACCAGTGGCAAGGTTGGGGTGCTGCAATAAAATGACAGAAAAACTTCTCCCATAGCCACCCTGAAAAACCCAGACATCATTATCTGCCAGAGCTGGGGCAGAGCCTGTGCCCAAGCCCAGCACAGAGAGAAAGCACAACTGACCGGCTGCTCCCCTGGGTCTCAGAAGTGCAGCCAGTGCAAGGATGCCAGGTTTCAAACACGGCATGAAGAACAACCAGCTGAAATACACTGATCAGATTTTTGCACTGTAAAATTCTGACTTGATGCTAGAAGGACAGCATCCCCTTGCAGATCTGCCAGCACAGGCGTCCCTTCTCCTTGCCTGCCTGGAGCTCAGGTCAGCAGCTGCCAGGATGCTCCCTCTGGATGAGCACTCTGTAGAGGCAGTGGGTACCAAAACCCATTGCCTCTTTTAGTGGTTCCTAAAGGTAACAGTGAATTCCACTGAGGATGCTCTCCTCAGACCAAAGTGCTCCTCTGAGATCCTCTGCCAAGCCGACTGCCTGGCAGCTGCAAGGGTGCAGCAGGGCTGATGGCACCAGATATATCTGACACTTCCCTTTGTCCCAGTAGTCATCCCAAGAAGTGTTGAGAAGCTGTACACAGCCTATGAGTGCCCAGTTTATGAACAGACAAGTGTGGTGGGAAGGGGAACCAGGCCCTTGAGGTGCACCATGAATGTTGTCAGATGGCTTTTATTCTCCAGGATCCTGGAGTTTTTGTCTCAGAAGAGGAGACTGTGATCAGCAAGAAATGAATTCCAATATTTGTTTACATGTCACACAGTCTCCTCCCATCAAGTATGAAGACTGCTCAGGATGCTTTCCTTCCACCAAGCCACGACAGAAGAAACAAGCAAGATAGAAGTTCATCTCACCTCTATGAACCAGACATTGAATCCCCATGTCTTAATCCTTCTAGATTAAAAACTCTCCATTACCTCCACTGGAGTTTTATGAAGAATTTCAAGATTTGTCCCTAAATAAAAAGTACCAAATTAATATAATAGCATGGTGAAGTTTCTATTTACTGCACACAACAGTCAAGATATTCAGACTTACAGCTCCCACTGCAGCTGCAATCCAGTTTCCTTGCTTGTACATAATGTGTTTATCTACTATGAATGGCATTATCTTTAGTCCCTTAAGAAGCCCATATAATTTGGCTGTCACAGTTTCCACCACCTTGGAATCTCCTGCCTTTAATTTCGATTAAATACTGTCTATAGCATAACATTAATGGTGTTTCCAACATGTGCGGCAACTATGAAATCAACCACTACATACATGTTGCACATACATTTGTAATGTTCAAATACCATTTGTAGAGACAAGATCTCAAAGTAATATAAGGATCTGATCTTGATAAATCTAACAGCCCCAACAGGACTGCCTCCTCTCTGTTTCAGGCTTTGCAGCTGGGCTTTTCACTGTGAAGTAAACTCTCCGGGCCAAGCAGGTGGAGACAGCAGATATGAACCTGCCTCAAGTCCTTTCCCTACCTTTTCTGCCATGAAGGCTTTTCCTGTTGGCCTGGCCAGAGGAAGATGGTGGTCCTCAGGACAGAAATGCCTCCTGGCACATGCTGCAGCACCCAACCTACTGCAGCAGTGCATTAAGGGAGCTCACCCAGATGCCCCTTTGCACTGAGCTGTGCCCAGTCCCCAAGGAGAGGTTGCTGATGCTGTCTCTGTTTTGTAAGGAAGTGAGGCAGGACATTTAGCAGTTGAGAACCGAGGCTTCCTAATTAGCCATCCAGTAGTGCACTGACAGATGGCTGTTTCTATTTTTGCCTCCCTTACTCCAGGCCCATTCATTCAGCATGCTCCTTTTAATTACACAGGATCATGTGCCCAAAAACCTTGTCCGCTTTTTCCTGAGTGCATCAGTTGGTCTAACAGGAGATGTTATCTTTTCCTAAAACACCACTTCAGTTTGCCCATTTGTTTTGCAGCATTGAAGACAACCTCCAGTTTGTGCCTGCTTGTACTTGGCAGCAATCTTGAGCTTCAGGAGACCAAAGCTTTTCACAGAAGAGCAAATATTACTCTCCCAGGGTCCCCCCACTTCCCACATACCTGCAAGACAAGCTGGCAAGGAGGAGCATCAGAACACAGCAAAAGGCAAGTAAGATTCAGCACAAGGCAATCTGTATCATCAAAAATTCAAGCAAGGCAGCATCCCATAAAGACCTAATAAGTCTCCCTTTCTCCCTCAAAAGCACAGGTCCTCAATTCAATATACAGTAGGGCCAAAATATATGCATAGGCTTAGCAGCCCAAGAGTGACATGTTGTTTCATTCCTCTTCCCCAGACTCTGGATCATCTTCTCATCCCAAAAGCTTTCCTAAAATCCTCACTGTATTTTCAAACTAAGAATGTCCTAATTTGCAAAATAAAGAGAAATGGGGATGAAAAACAAGACTGACAAAAGCCTGGGGTGGGTGACGTCCAGCATAGCTCTGTGGGAACCAAATTGTAAGCTGCCCTCCATGGAAAAGCAAAAACTGGCAGGAGCCCAGCTGAACGGTTCAGGGCTACCTGAGCAGACCCAACACCACATCTCTGGAAGGATCTCAACCTGGAACTCACTGTTGTTGTACAACTTACAGGGAATGGCTGTCACCCATTTATGTCCTGTGATCAATGGCCCTGTGGAAAACCCAGCATCAATAATGAGTAAGTACCAAATAATGTGCTCTATCTTTCCAGCCCTGGCTACAATGAAGACCATCAAGTGGTACAAATTACTTCACTGTAGTGATGTTGATTTCTACAACCCGGGAATCTAGCCCAGGTTTCATCTGGTTCACGAGTGAAGTAAACCATACAGTATCATGTGTATATATATATATATTATATATATAACGTAGTTGACAATGTAGGTAGACCACAGTTTCCACACAACTTGGCTGGAGGGGGGGTAAGGCTATTTGCATTGATAAGATGGCGCAAGCACAGTTTACCAAGTGTAGAAAAAAATCCAGCCACAGAGAGGCTTGGTAGGGGCTCTGGCACCAGATCTCTGCAGGAACCCAAGCTTTCTAAAGAGTCTGTGAGAAGCTGGGAAAGCTCGTCCAAGCCATGTTTCTAAGAATACTGAGGGGCAGCTTGACGCTCTGTCGAGTGCTGGAGGTTGCACTTGCACATGCACACTCAGCCACAACACCATTAGGGTTTTGCTCATTTGGCACCTCTTCCTCATTTACTTAATTTCTATTAATACCATAATGTTTCTGATTCAAGCCTTTATCAGATGCTGCCATGTGTTACACAGAGCCAAACTTTGGAAGGAGGCTTTGGAAAGAAGTCATTTAAGGGCGCATTAAAAAATGCCAGAGCACTGGGAAGGGCGGCTCCCAAGCGAGGGGTGGCTGCTGTAACTGTAAAAAGGCAACTGGGTTGGTTTTCTGCAGGCCTAGGCCAGTGCTCTCCTGCCTGGCAAGGCCCAGCAGGTGCCTGGGGGTCTGTGGAACATACTGGAAAGTCTATGAAGGCTAATGGGGAAAAGACTAACCTTGTTGACAGCAGCTTTCCACACCTGGCTCTGAACCTCTATTGGAAAATGGAGGTAGAGGTCTGCAAATCAAGAGAGGTTGAAAACCACAGCATAAGCATGTCCCAGCTCTGTCTCTGGGGTAGCCAGTAGTTGTGTCTGATGATTACTTCTGAAATAAATGGCTCAGTTACTGTGATCATACTGCAAAACATAGGCAGAGGGTGGAGGTTAGCACTTTCTGTCCTTTGCCTTCATCTGTGACCCAGTGATATGTTTGTCATGGCTTGGCTGGAGGACGTATGGAGCTCCTGAGAAACAGCTTCCAGAAAAAACCTGTACTCACGGCATCTGAACAGTACCAATCAACAGTTTCATTGGTTAAAACTAAGAGGTCAAATACAAGCAGCAGATGAGAAGAACACAGATGTTGACGCTGACACGCTGCTGGCCTTTTGGAATGACGATGAGCGGCTGGAAATGCATGTGACACACTGGAGAATAGGGATGGAGTGAAGAATTTCAGGCTCACTAGAACATCACAAATGAAAAGGCAGTCAGCTGAGCATTCTGAATTCTTCCTTTGAAAATCATCTGTAGATCTTCCACTGCTTCATACTAGAATGGGCTTCAGTCCCCTGGCTTTGGGAAGACACACATGATAGGGCTGCAGGCTTCCAGGTTGGCCAGGCCCACTCAGGCATCCTGAAAACCTCCCAGTATAGGAAAAAAACATTTAAGGTAGATGAATATCTTTGGGGAGAAGAAAAGAGAAACCCCATTTCTGTGTTTGTGGTTGAGTGAAGATCTAGGCTGTCTTCACAGCAGAAAAACTCCCTTCTTGGAGGAGGCTATTTTTTTCCCTCTGAATAATGACACAATTAGTGAGTTCTCCATGCAGAGCATGCTGCTCCCTACACATTTCCAAGGCCAGGTTTGGGTCTGTCAGCTGCAGGACTTCTCTTCAAGCTACTCCCCAGGGGAACCAGTTACTGAAGCATTGGAAGCCCTGTCTAGAGCTACCTTAAAACTAAAGGGAGCATGTCTCTGTATTTCAGTGGCATCTGGTATTGTACTCTGCCATAAGCTTTAATTGTTTCTGTTCTGGAGAAAGCCTTTGTTCAATACAACTGCCTACTTCATGATGACATCATCCAAGACTGTGCAAAAAAAGCACAGCCTGGAGTAGTCAGGCATGTGATGATGTATAAATAGCACTGACAGAACAATATTATAAACTCTATTGGTACAGCTGAGATAAAACTAGCAAGTTGCTGATTCATCTAAGATATCAGCTAGAGGGATGGCATAAGGTTCAGCTACAATAAACCTTCTCAGCTAAAAGCATATTACTTCACCATGAATCAGCTCCTCATCTCTTTCATTCTTTTCAGAAAAGCACCTGTCTCTTCCTACTTTGATCCTCCATTACCAAACACATGAAATATAGGGCCTGGGTTTTATTTCTTCTTCCCCTACACTGAAACACATTGCAGTCAGAGATTTCTCTAAGGCTTTAGAGAAAGCATAGGAAAAGCAGAAGCATTCCTAAAACTGCTTGCCAAGTGCTTGGTCGTAGTGACGTTTATGTTAATGTTCTTTGCTATGTTTCTACTTTGCCTGCCTCTAGAAAAACAAACAAGGGACCATTATTTCAATAAACCTGGAATACTGAACCATATTTCCAACATCTCTGAATCTGTAATGACTAGGTCATTTTATGGCTTTCAGTAAGATATATGCAAAGTCAAGTACACAGCCACATACAATATGCTTTTCAGAGAGACAAAATGAAACTTAAACACCAAACCTACAAATACAAGAATTAAAGGAAAAAAGGAAGCCAAGAGACAGGTGACTTGCTCCTTGGAACACATCAGCAATGATTACTTGTCCTGTGTCTTGCCTGGCCCACAATTTATGCTCTTGTTTGATTTAACTTTTAAACTATCTGGACTGTAATACCAGCCACACTGATGCTAAGCCCCTCTTCACAGGAAGATGCTGGAGGAGAGTACAGGGACTACAGTACCAAGAACTAGTGCTCCAGCTGCAAATACAGGGGCAGCTGCTCTTGGGAAGCAGTCTCAGACTGCTGCCTGTCTGCTTCTGGAACAGGTGTCACAGCAACAACAAGCTGCCCAGTGCAGGATGCTAACTGGCTGCAGCCACAGGTAAACAGGCAGTTCCAGGAATCCCTCTATTGTGGCAAATTCTCCCCCACAACACAACCATCATATTTTTAGACACAGTTAAAAGAGTTAAATGTTTAACTTTCAGTTTTTAACACTAAAGCGATATGGCAAAGAGAAGCATAGATAATAAATGGCAACTTGTAAACAGGCAAATTATGAGGTTTCTCTCCCTTCATGTTGGACAAGCTCTTCTGTAACCAGCACAATGCTTCTCAGTGCGATGACTTGGGCTAATGAGTAGAGCCAGGAAACTCACAGCCTCCTCTGTCACCTCTTGCATGACTGTCTGGCCTCCACAAAGCTTTCTATTGCTTGTGCATCACCTTGTGATCAATGCATAATGATGACAAATATCTCTAGCAACTCAGAAGACAACAGGTCACCCTCTCCTTGTGAATACCTTCCTGCTGGATCTCAATACAGTGGGTGACAGAAATAAGCTCTAACAAATGCAATTGCTTTGCAGTTTAATACCTATGATTCCACTTACCGGTAACCTACTAAGCTTCTGTGTGCCAGCAACTTAAGTCCACATTCTGTTCCTCAACAGCATGATCTTACACTGTGATCATCATTCCCATGAGCGTTAACTAAATGGACATACCAGACCCATTAGAACAGTCTGCTTTGTACAAGTAAAGAGCTTTATCTACTGACTGCATCTTGGTTTGCATCAAAGCTAAGTTGCTTGTTCAGGAGCATTAAAATGGGCAAGGTTTATGAGCATTAAAATGGGCAAGGTTTATACAATTAGGGAACTTTATATTAATTTTTAAAACTTGCAGATGTTGCAGCCTGTACATATGGGAGTAGCACCAAAGGTTGCGATGACAGAAAAAGTTATATTGGCTGGATTTTCAAATTAAGGAAGCAGGAAAAAGAAAAATCTCACCCTACCACTATCAAGGCATTACACGTATCTAGTTTTGCACACATCTTTTAGTTAGCAGCTTTGCATTTCTGATATTGAGTTAATCAGCGATTTTTTTTATGAGCACAAAACCAATAAAATACTGTGGGGGGAAGGGGGAGTGGGAGAGGGGGCAGTGGCAACAAAAACCCCTTATTTGCTTATGACGTATTTTTATATTCACTAAATCCTTCTTGCTATGCCCAGATAAGACCTTTGCTGCATCACAAGTTTCAGAGAGCAGTGCCAGGAGTAATCCTACATATCTTCCACTTGTGCCAACATAGAATCATAGAACAGTTAGGGTTGGAAAGGACCTTAAGATCATCTAATTGCAACCCCCCTGCCATGGGCAGGGACACCTCGCACTAAAGCATGCCACTGAAGGCTTCGTCCAACCTGGCCTTGAACGCTGCCAGGGATGGAGCATTCCAACCTCCTCTGGTGTGAGCAGTGGTGGGAAGAGCAGCCTTTAGGATGTCACTTTGCCACCTCTCAAAGAATTTGCAGCTCTAGCATTATTTTGGCTGGGGTTGCTATTCAATCAACATGCCGAGGTGCTTTGCAGAGAACATTTAAGTGACCCTCAATGATCTAGATAAACAAGATGTTTTATATTATCAACATCTCCTTTGTATTCCAGTTGCATGACAATACTGGTAAAACCTACTGATGCTAAGACCAGCTTCAGCTTTGAAGCTTGGGACAATAACAAAATAACCTGCTATTTGTTTATGTTAGTAATAAAATCTGCCAGCAATGATGATTTGATCGTGGCCTTAACAACAAGCCTAGCCAAAGGAAACCTTCCCAATAAAGAGGAGATGATGGAAGTGGATGGGTTGGCTGTGGATTTTCTAAATCTAGTCCAAGAAGCTAGTAGTTATGCTTAAAGTCTTAAATTTTATTTTGGACCCCATCTTTCCAAAAGATTTCCTGGGGGACAAAGAGAAATTGTAGCATTTGCCACTTCCTAGGATAAAAGTTTTGAGAAATGGAACAGAGCCGAACTCTATTATTCCTGTTTTCCTGAATCCATCAGAAGCAGCCAAGGAGCAAGGATGGAAGCACTGCCCCAGCATGGCAGGCTCTCCTAATTGCCATCTTCCTTGGGCATCCCTCCCTCTTCCTCCACCTGCCCTGCCTCTATTCCTTCTGCCACATAGTCAGCCATAGGGATTATTCTGGGCCTTGGGGCTGTGGGAATGGGTGCCCTTGTATTGCACTTTAATCCATCTGGGAGACCGCAGCTGCATGTACATAATAACCAGATAGTTTGTTGAGTTTATATATATATACATATATATATATATATATATGCTATGTTCTTGCTCTCTACTTTTTTCTATATATATGTAACATAGCAATGCCACTACAACTATAGGCATGCTACATGGGAACATACCTTTCATATGTAATCAGTCCTTAGGCATCAGTCCTTAGGCATCAGTGTTGCATAAGTGAGGTAGAAAAAGGCTGGTTTATAGTGCACTTCTAAGCAGACAATTTCAACTTTTGGCATCTCTTCCCCAGTATCTCCACCACTGGTGAACATGTGAATGTAATGTTGCCTCACTGCAGTCTGGCGCAATGGATTTTACAATAGAGTATTTTGATAACACCATAGACTTGCATGTGAGTAAGACTTCCAGTACAGCAGCACAATTTATTCCCATTTCCAGTGTAATGGAGCCTTTCTGATTATTTTCACAGCACTGTACAAGATTTTTTGTGGTGTTTTTTTTTTTTTTTCCCTGTTGCACAAAAGGAAAAAAAGCTCCTAATATGTTCCTGAAATTCCTTGTGAAGATAATGTGACTTACTCTATCAGCAAGAGAATGATACTGGAATGAATGAAAGTCAATATTTTTTCTCAAAGTTTCTTAGTATTCAGTCCTCATATGGTGTAGGGGGTTAAACTCTCAATTACACAAAGGCAAATACACAGAAATCTTTCAAAGTTAATAGAGTTATTCTCGACACCTGAGTAATTTGTCCCTTGGTATGATTCATTCTCCACAATCCACTCTGAATGTCCGTAACGACTGCTTCTATTCGCTTACATTTTTAGCTCTGTTGTAATTCTATTTTTTTCCATGTTTCACAAATAGCTGGAGTCAGTTTCTTTCAGATGATGCTGTTTCCCCAACTTGGCTTCCCTATGAATAACCTCCATCATCACTATGCTACTTTTGCTTGAATGTTTCATTTTTAACAATAAACATCTATCCCAGATGCCTTATTTTCAGCTTCATTAAATGTTTTACTAGTTCATATTGAGTCATGTCAATATTTACCTTGGACACGATTCCATATCCTTTAGTTTCTAATACCAGAATTCTCCAGACAAGCTTATTGTTCCTGGCTTGACTTCTCCAAGTCACAGCTTAAAAATTTTTGACGTACTAAGTAAGATGCAAATTCACCCAACTATTTGCTTTGTGGAGTGCTGCCAGCTATGTCTATTCCAAACATCTTTGAACTGATTTACTTCAATTTCTGTGTGCACATGGCCCCCAGACCTGTAACCAGTTACTCTGAGATAATTTAAAAGCCATTTAATAACAGCAATTAGCAGGAGAGAAAGCAGAAATCAGATATCAACTTTCTGGGTGTAGTACCACAACAGACCATTTCTACTGACCTTTTGCATCGTAGAGAAAGGGTGTCAGGAAACCAGGAGGGATTTCCAGCCCCTACACCTTCATGCTGGTCCTCACTGCACAGCCCCGGGTACTTTTCTGAGACACTGGATGGCATTTCTTCACTCCAGCTCTCTCCCCTGCTCCTGACCAGAAGGACTGATTTGTTCCAAGCCATGCACAGCATGGAAGTCATTGTGCTGTTTCTTGTACTAAACTGTGTACTGGGCAGGTCTGAAGGAACCTTGTAAAATAGTGAGCACCAGCAGGATGCCATGTTTACCGGACAGGAGGACAGCAGCAGCATGGAAGTAAGTTCCCCAGTAATATCAATAACACAGGTAACGGTAGTAACTAAGAGAGGAGAGGTGGTGGTGAGGGTCATACTGGAGCAATAGAGAGCCTAGGAGAATGTAAAGGTGGGTGGAACAGATTCTGCCCCTTTGGCAGCTGCATAAGAGCAACCTCTGTCTTCGACAAGAAGTTGGCAACAACTAGAGTATGGTAATGACAAGATGTGTAAAGGAAAAAAGCCATGGGCATGGAGAGGAGCAGCATGGGTGTCAGGGGATGGTGTTTTGCGGGACCCCAGTGTAAGGGGTACCTGAAATAGCTCAGTGTGCTCATCCCCAGGTAGTCCCTGAGCTGTTGACCACAGAGCCATCTGCATCCAGGCTGCTCCTCATTTCTGTAAACATGCTTGCTTGAGCAAAGTTGCTCCAAAAACATACAAGACAATGGGAAACAGAAGTTTGAGAAGTGCAATTTTCTCAATAATTTTCTCAATCTTTACACTGAGTTTACTTCAGGTCCTTTTTCAAAGCAGTAGCACAAAAAATGTAGTGTGAAGTTTGATATATTTTTATTTTATATTAATGTACTGCACTGGAATAAAACATTTTGAATTTTATATTGGATATAAAAAAGCAAAGGTGTCAAGCTGTGAAAGTGCTTTGAAAATAACAAAGGACTTTATGTGGGATTGTTTGAGGTCATTTTATCTGTTGTTCCTGACAGTATTTAAATACCTCCTTTCAGTTTGAAATGCCTTTGGTTGTCATTCACTGAAATCAGTGGTGGAGACTAGCAAGGCAGCTGGGCACACACCACAAGGGGTTACAGGGGGAAAGATTCTGAGATCTCCAAAGCAATTATTATACCTGTGCTGTCCACCTATGTTTCACAAGAGGTGCCAATTTGGACTAAAGGAGTAAGCCACCTTCTTTTGAGAAAGGAGACAATTTCACATCATGCTGACTTCCTCAAGCAAACTAGTTTCAGGAGCAGGTCAAGGAGATGGCTTTAGTTCTCAACCCAGGTGTGTAACAGTTCTCAAGATGAAATACAGGGTATTAAGCTCAGTTCACATGGCAACAATTTCAGTGATGGCCACATGTGCAGATACATGGAGCTAGTTCTGAAATACCTTGCTTAGATGCTTTAGCAACAGCAGCGCAAGTAAATAATTTGTGTATTTAGCCCACATGCTATTGCTAACATCCCAGAAAGACTCCATCGGCACAGTGTAATGAAGCTAATATTTCTGTGCACCCTAGACTGCATTATAGCTTATAGACAGTTCCCCTAAGCTTTGACCCAAAAGGGCCGTACTGCCAAGAGGACAACAGAGGCTTTGTTTCTGAAAGAACTTGCTCACCTCTAAAGCAGAGGTGGCTGTTCTCCTTTTTTGTCTAAGCCAGAATCAGAAACAGTTTGAAACTGGGATATTCAAATTCCCTTCTCTGCCTTATGTCCCCCTGGACATATACTCCAGTGAAAAAAAGCAGCTTGGTACGGGAAGGGAGATGAGACAGGATGCAGGACCATTGTCTCCCACAAACATATGCGGCCAAAAGATAAAAGGGAATGGTTGAATACTAGATTAAATGCAAGTTTCATGTAAATTATCACATACAGAGACCTAATAAATGATTCTGTGCAATGCACTGTCAGAGATTTTTCTCTTCCATTTTTGTTTTGCATGTGTAGGAGCTTTTTCCCCTTGGAGGATAATGTTCAGGTTTTAAAATTTATATTATCTGTCATTACATTCATCTGTCACTCTGTTGAAAGGGCTTCTTTTTTAATAAAATGTCCTTTTTTCTTTTTAATGTGTTTCGTATCAGAATGGGGTATTTAGAATAAGCCCTTTCAACAGCAGTACTGCACAGGGTGGGGTAACATGCAGGAAGGTTCCTTTTTGTGTAGTATGATCTCTTTCGACCCAAACAACTAATCAAAGTTTTACAGGTTTTGTATTTGCCCCGGTGGGGAACTGGCAAGGGTATTCACTGCAAATCTCTGCTTCCAGTGCAAAGGACTCAACTAGAAACAGAGGCTTTGCTGACAGATGCCCAACAGTTCTTTCAGGCAGGACTTGTACTTTACCCACTCTCACCTCCTGGTCTGGTGCAGTTGTGAAAATCCCTCTGTGAGGTTCAGCCTGTGCAGAGGGTGCCCATGAAATCCTCATGTTTCTTGTTGCTGTTATACAGTTATATGGGCTTACTGCTTGCCGAGGGTCTCACTCGAGTCTACATCTGAGCCCCTGTGACCACGGAGGACACCTTTCTCTCACTCCATGCTGCTTCAGTGCTTCTTATTCTGAGCTTGCTTTACCTTGTGACCTAACTAAAAATGGCATCATATTACTGTGTCATGATCGGTGTGTTCACTTCCTCTCATTCACTCTCTGCTGGTATACTTTCAATTATTCTTTCCCTAAATTGTTTTTGTTTTTTATTTTTTTTTTCTTCCCATCAAAATACCTGGAAGAATTCCAGCAACTTTTTCCTGCTGCTAAATATGAGCATTTTATTGCTAATGTCCACTTGAATTTGATCTTGAACAGCATAATATTACACATAGTATTTCACATAGGGCCCATGATTTTAATGCCAACTGCAAGATTGAGATACAGTAGTCCCACCTGTTTGAGTTCTGATTTCTCCTCAGCTCTGGGAATTTCCATTTCACTTGTCTTTATTCCCACCAGCCATCCTGCATTTGGCCATATGATCGCTTTCCTTCCTGGAACATGAAACAGAGAGGACAGTCATTCAGCCTGCAGGTCATATACCTAGATTATCTTTCATCACTAGGCAGCTTTGATAGCAATCTGATTTCTTCTTTTAGAATAAGGGGAAAACCCTCCATGAAAAGACAGAGGGTGCAAGCATGCTACTAATTACTCAGTGAAAAAAGGTTCAAGGCTCAAATCTTATTATCAGCCTCTATAGTGGAAATACAGTGACTCCAGTATAAGCAGAGGAAGCACAATGGTGTAGCTGAGATCCAGATCAAGATAAAGGTTTTGGAATACGCTCCTCTGAGTTGCCTTTTTTCTTATATTTTTATATATGTATTTTATTACAGACATCTCATCTCCCGCTTTATGAGTTATTTTGAAGGCTTACTGTATCCAAGAAAGCAGAGCAGGAGTTCAGATTATGAACTTTGATTGCTCATGGTTTATTCAATATTTTTAATAAAGTTTGAAAAGATTCCCTTCCATCAAAGAATGTCCCCTTTGATTAATCAATTGAATTTGATATTTTCTCCATGAAGAATACAACGCAGCATGCCCCTTTGCCAGTTGTTTACAGGCAGCTTTGCAGTACACAATAGAAAACTATTTTCTAAGTAAAAAGGCTGTGATCAGAAATGTTAATAAACCACTTAATAATATAGAATCTTTTTCTTCTATTAAAAAACGCATAATAAAGTCATACAAAGCCATTTTTCATATAATCTGCATACTTTCCAAATAGCATATTCAGGGAAACAAGAGTTGTCTCAAATGGCCTTCTTCACATTTACATCTGTAACAGCTGCAGTAGCAGTTCTGTCAGGTTTGATTTTATTCAGTGTTGCAGGATCAACATAAAATCTAGGCTGAAAATTAAAGGGAGTAAATGTCCCCCTGACAGTCAAGAGAATGATTTTGGTCCAAGAGTATTTCTGGCCACAACTCACTTTCAAAAGCAGCTTTGTCATTTGTGCCTGGCCTAGTCCCAATAAGTGCTATTATGATTTGTTACGTTTTCTATAGAACCAGGAAACCATTTATTAGCCCCATGGTATTGTATTGAGCTTCAATTATGTAACAGTCATTATTCTGCTGAATATCCAAAGCTTTGTAAGAAAGTTTTAGTTCTGGAAAGAAACATACAAGGTTCTCAAATGATTTTGAGAAAGATCAATCTCCCCCTTTTTTGCTAGTTGAAAGAGGAAAGGTCCCTTCTTGATATAAATCATGAATAATGTGAATAGACTTTTTTCTAAAGAAAAACTCCTTTTTCTTTGAAAGCCATTGATAGCTTGGGATTCAAGCAGAAAGGAATAAAAGAAGAAATAATAGTTTCTTCCTAGAAGAGAACATGATAGGTATGTGTCCAAATTAGTGAGATTTTAATTTAATTATAACCCAGGAGTGTGTGTGCATGTGTGATTTGCCTGCTTATAAGTGAGGAATGAGGGTCTCTCCCACATGTAGTGTGGAAGAGGAGCGGGCAGGTCCTCAACTGGTGTTAAGCCTTGCTAGGGGCCCCTTCATGCTGTTCTTGCATCTGATGCAAGTCAAGAATGCAACCCACAGTCCTGTGTGCTTATTTAGCTGCCCTTTATGGTTCAACAACACAAACTGTTGATACCTAATCAAATCCCAGTGCCCTCCCATTTCCAACTGGTCTGAGCCATCTGCATCTCCCAGACTTGACAATAAATTAACTACCATAAAGTAACTAGGTAACTAGTTACCTGACATCATTCTCTTTCTATCATCCTTTAGTGTTTGAAAAAAACCCCACAACCCCAAAACATAGATTTTTTAAAAGCACTGACATAAAAATTGATCAGCTCCAAGCAATTCTGCCCTTCAGAAGTCATTTTACATGATTGAAGGCTTCAGCTTCCAGTTCTCAGAGGCTTTTCCAGTTCTCAGTCAGGTGTGAATTTTTCTCTGCTCTCTCAACAGCCAGACAGGGCAGTTCCTGTAACCACCATACACCAGGTAAGAGTCAGTCCAGCTGCTGCCTCTGGGTTTTGTTTTTAATTGAAACTAAAATACACCACACACACAATGCACATACAACGCATACATGCAACAGCTGCTCTGCCTTAGAGTAGCAGGACTCCTTGGTATTCTTAGGAAATGGAAAAGCAATGTTCCCAAGGCTGTCAGGTACTCAAAATGATCTTTCTTTAATGTATGCTCAGGTCAACTGGTATTTTAGTAGAATGACTCTAGCTTTATGCCAGCTGAAGAGAAAGTAGAAAGTAAATCAATAACCTTGGTTTTTTTTCAGATAGACTTCAGTATTTCAAAAATGCACAGCTAATGGAAATCTGCTGCCAAGGTTGCACCCATATTACAAACCCAAACAATTCAAACACCGCTGCTACAACTCGGTGTAACTACAGCCATTGCATAGCAAGCATACGTATGCTTGAGTGTATGTTTTGCCCTCTGTGAGGACAAGCAAGAAGAAAGCAGGTGATACTACATTTTGACTACAACCATGTCATACCCTGGTTATTTTTGCAGTATAAATGTGTTATATACGGATCAAATGCATTTGCATTTCATTCACTAATTCTACTCAGAGCAGCATTCAAGCTCCCTTTTTGCAACAACAGGAAAGAATTTGGATACCCAGTATATCTAAAAAAAAAAAAAAGTGAATTGAAGTAGAACACATTTGCAAGTTGCACATTTATTGGATGCACATTTATTGGATTAAGTGAAACAAGGCATCGAGCCAGAATCTGATCTTGTTTGCCACTATGCAAACGATGAGTAAGTCTGCTAGGGTCAACAGAGCAGCAGTGGAGTCACATGAGTCACAGCACACTGCTCTTCGGAAAGATTGCTCTGTGGCTAAATATACTATTACAGTTGCTTCAAGAAAAGCTCTGCATCAAGTTCTAATGAATGCTGGCAGTGATAAAGCCTAAAGGATGAACAGGAATTAACAAGTGGCCTTAAAATCTTATTGAAGAGAATGGAAGTTTTGTCTGCACAAGAAGTGAAGAAACAGAGCTTTGGTAATGACCTAATTTTTCCACCACCCATATTTATCCACCTTGGTGGGGGGGTGGGGGGGGGAGCAGAAAAGGAAACAGATTTTTTTTTGTTTCAGGATCCAAGTGCAGAAAATACTAAACTCAACAGATTAAGTTTGCAGAAGTTACCCCTCAACTATGTGATAACTGAGTTAGTTTCACTATCATTTTAATCAGGCTTGTCCCTGTAAACAATGCCTTGCTCCTCTCAGGGAATGCATTAAATAAACCCACTGTTATCAGTGAATGGGAACAGCCACACCAACACCAATCCAGCACTCCATCCCAGTGACGCAGCACAATGATAATTACAATAAATACCCTTCATATCTCCATCTCATACACAGAGTGGTGAATTTGGAGAAATGAGAAACCGTAAAAGAGAAGGAAGCCCTTTGGTCTTTTCTTTTTTCAGTGGGGTTATAATTTAGTGCTGTTACAACAATAGTTTTAGGTAACTAAGACTGCTTGTCAAATGTAGGTTTGCATTTTTTATCAGAGCACTGAATTAAGAGATTTCATGATTCCTTGTGAATTGCTGTCCTACATAGTCTTTTCACTGGAAACCTGACTAAATGAGTATTATTTCTTCTTAAGTGGTTTTACAGGTCGTTTATCTTAGATTTATGAGTATCAACCTACTTTAGAACGTATTAGATAGCTTTAACGTTTGACACATATTCTCTAAATCATTTACAGTGCTCTCCATTTGCACTAGACGATCAGTAATCTTCTCAATATTAGGTTTTATTGACAATGCACCATACAGAGTACTTATTATATGGTAATGATTTAAGATAGGTGCAAGATTGGGAACTAATAAATCCAAAAGCTCATTTTTGATTGTTGACACAGAGCTGAGAAATAATGTGCATCTGTCTAAATTACACTGTTTCTCAACAACATAACACACATACATGTTTAACCTGTTAGGAACACAGTGCAGAGATGTGCAAACAGATCCTAACTCTTGCTTTGAGCTTGATGCTTAAAGCTCTGCGTTTACTCAGAGAAAACCACCAGTGTGTGTGAGACTCCTCCATCTCGTGGAAGTGCCTGCACCTGCCTTATACCGTGTGGCAGGTGCAGGGGACCAGCCCAGGTCTGGTTCCTGAGCACTGGTTCATGCCCAGCTCCACCTGGCTCATTGCAGGCTACTGCTGCTGCTGTCCAAGCCGACAGTCTCAAGCAACCCAAACATGACTCTCTTACCCTTGAGTCACGTCAAGGTAAATAGGCCTACTGAGATCAAGAAGCATTTTGCCTGAGTAGGCAGGTAGTAAAACTGAGATTAAGGGCTTAAAAATTACCCCCATTATTTATATTTGGGAGACAATATCAAAAGCTGTCATATATAACAAAGACAAACCTTCATGTAGCCCTACACAATAATTTCACAGAAACATTGGCATTGATAGTAACTGAATTCAGTTGAATAATTGATTTGACTTCTTTAATAGAAGATCAGCCCCCATATCTATATTACTCACAGAAAATTGTAGTAAAAGAAAAAAAAAATTAAAGCAAGAGTCCTTGGTAGCAAATGAACATCTCTCCACTGAGTTCTATAGAATTAAACTCTCATCTGCAACCCGTAATCCAAAGGTGTGTCTTTGAAATGCAGTCAGAGAGATCTGTGTCAGCCCTGCTTTTATAGTATGCCATTGGAAATGCTTTCTGGGGCATCGGAGCTGCATGAACTGGCAATTTGTTAAGTTGAAATGTGACATTTCAGAAGAAGGCTGGAGTGATCTCAGGCCAAAACAAACACAAAATCTGAATCCTGCTTTTATCCCAGCAGCCACCTGGCAAGAAAACTCCAATGAAAAATTGATGTTAGTGGCAAAATTGTCCTGTGACAATTACACATGACTAATAGCAGGGAAGCACAGGAAAGAGGTGGCTTTTTCTCACCTTGGTCATTCAGGAAAACAATCCCAAACCCCTTACTCAGGCTAGAGCTGTGGCAGGCTCACTCAGCTGCCCCCAAATGATTTAGTAGCAGAGGAACCGATGCTACTGAACATTCAGAACTCCAAACTCCAACCAAAATAAAACACCTTTCAAAGCAGCAGAGTGAATATTGCTGTTACCTTGTCTTACTTTGGTAAGATCAGGCACAGATTTGCTGGAGTAAGGCAATGGAGGAGCTAAAAAACCCACAACAAATCCTCCCAAATTAGGGCTCCCTGGTGCCATATGCACAGCTCTGGCCTTGACATGAGGGAATGCCTGCAGACCCCCAACCTAACAGCACATTAGCAGGCACTTTACTAACCTGCTGTGAAATAGCAGAAATATCACAAGCTCAATTTTTCCTATTAGTGGAGCTATCTGCCTTCTGCAGTGTGGTATCTACATTTTTGTAAGCTTGTTTCATTCACTTAGTTCCTAAATCAGCAAAATTTAGTGATCTTCAACATCTCCCTGTGGTAAGTGAAGTTTCTTTTACTACTGTGAAGAAGGGAGGAGGTCAAGAAAGCTTGGGAAAAATTGTTAGCAT